CCTTGCCAGAAGTCAAGATTCATTTTTAGGCAAGAATCTTAAACTGAGATATATGCAGTAATCAATAGCTGAATCGTAGTCTCCATTTAAATGATATGACCAACCGATGCTCGTGTGCAAACCAGCAATTTGTGCTACATTTCTTGGCACTTTTTGTTCTTCTAAGAGCAAAGATTGTTTTCGATGTTTAATAGCAAGTAAATATTCGTGTTTCATACAGTAACCCCGACCAACTGTATTATGCATATCTATGAGTTTTTCGACATCTGGTGGAATACATTCTTCATAAATTTCCAGTGATTTTTGTGTATGTTCAATACAAATATCATATTGGCCTGTGTCTTCATAACATACACCGATACCATCATTCAGCTCTGCAATTCGAATACGTTCATCAGGCATTATTCTTTCCACTAACACCAGTGACTCTTTGTAATGTTCCAAAGCCGAATAAAACTCTCGTTTTCGACTAAACACAACGCCCATATTCCATTGAATATCAATCAGTATGTTTTCATCTTTTACAGATGAGCGACATTTTCCATATAACGCAAGAGACTTTCTAAAATACTGCTCGGCAAGGGCATTTTCATTTTTATGTAAATAGCAATTGCCTGTTAAACTGCATAAATGAGCTGACAGAAGAACAGAATTATCTGTACATTTTTTTAAGGTAGGTGCTGATTCTTCTGCTTTCAAATAATATTCCAAAGCTAAATCATACTTTTTAGTACAATGACATATATTTGCCAAATCTAGATAGGTACTACTAAGTGCTGAATGATGTGTTGGTAAAGATTTTTTGAATAGCTCTAATGTTATTTGCAAATGTTCAAAAGCTTGTTCATAATGTTTGATTTTTAGATAAATACGACCAATACTAGAATGACTTTCAGCTAAAGCTCGATCGTCATATGGCGTCCAGTTTTCATAAATAGTGAGTCTTTTTTGGAAATGATCTAATGCTTGAGTATAATTACCTTGCGAGAAACAAATATTTGCCTTTGTTCTATGATACAAAACCAATATTTCTGGATTATCCGCATCAGAAGGGTTAATATTCATCGAGTGGTAATAATATTTCAAGGCTAGTTCAGTTTCTCCTCGTTCTAGATGTATTGAACCCAAAAGATCAAACAAACGTGATAACATTCGGTCGCCTTTGCCCGTATTAGAAGACAACTCAATACATCTTTTGTAAGCAAAAGTAGCATATTGCAAGGCTTTCACATTTTGATGATTTCCTGAATAAGAAAACGCAAGAGCGTAATAACAGTTCAGTTTAAAAATATCGTCGTTCTGGTGTTGTTGTATTAGATTATCAAAATAAGAAATAGCCTTACTGTACTGCCCCATTTCTATTAATAGAAATCCAAATTCTTGTTCGATAGACGGCACTATCATACGATCACGTCTTTGTCTCCTAAAATTGTTTGTTAAATTTTCTGCTTCACCGGCAGCAACTAGATTCACTTTCCAAAATCCACTACTCTTATCAAAATACACTTTTTCTACACGAAATATAGCTCCAATATCAAATAAAACTTCTTCTTCGTGAGGCATTTCGCTATGTTCCGAAATATTGGCGAAAATAATGTTCTGGTTTAAATGTGTGTCGATTACATATTCAAAAATAACATTACCCGGACCCGCAAAGATTTCAGCAACTATTAGCGAGCGAGTGGTTGATAGAAAACCATTTGTCGATATTAATTGTCCAACACTTTGTTGTAATTTATCAATGTCTTCTGGAGGTAAAAATTGTCCTCGATAAACAGTCAAGACATCTAGGCCTTGAACTTTTAACTTTTCACATTCTTTTTTCAAACATGCATAAAGATCCGATATATAATAGCGTACAGCCAGTAATGCTTCAATATCTTCTGTTCTCAGTGCTTGATTAACGAGGCGATACACAATTGAATCTTTGGTATACCAACGAATAGCATCACATGATTGATATGTCTGTTCAAATTCATCGACTTTCGTTAAAAACGTCGGGGTTTTTGGACTGTAGTATATGCGAAATCGATCAATCATTTCAATTTTGGAATCAGCAGTTTTTGGCATTGCTAAAAGTACATCTTTCAACAGCTGATACCATAAAAAATCAGCCGATTCTCGCGTTAAATCCTTCAATGAGACTTGTTTTTGATCAAATAAATGAAATGTAGTCATCTGACGAACAAGTGAACGTAACTCAAGCTGGAGACCTTCGAATAAGTGTGAATATTGGGTAAATACGCCGCGAACTTTCGATAAGTCTTTGGACAAATGTTCGTAGTCTGCTTTATTTATACAAAATATGTATATTAAATATACTTGTTTATTATCATGTATTAGCGGTGCTAAGCTCCGAGAATATTGCCCAGATAGAATAACCAATATTTTCTCGTCAGTTATCCCATTAATAGTTTTAAGAAATGTTTCTTGATCTGTACTAACTATGACGCTATCATGGATTTGTTCGAACAGATCTCTTAATTCCTTATCAATATTTTCATCAAGCCACATTAGTGTTATATTTTCATCTCTCTTGGACATCAATGCATCAGATGCTAGTTGTAGATCGGCATTGTGAATTGAACGTTGTTTCTGGAGTTTATTATAATGATAGAAGTTAGGTAAGTCCATTTAAATGATCTAAAACAAAACAACTATATGTGTATATGTTATTACAGCAATCAGCTGATTCATTGCCATTATAGAAGCATCAATTTGGTTAAAAAAGCTTAACGATGCTTTGCATGTTAAAAACAAAAACACTTCGCTCGAAAAACAATCAAACTACTGTTTGGTTTTTCAGTGAATACACATCTGTTCGGGGATCGGTTCCGCAATACTATTAAGTCTGCACTTGCAAATTCTTTTGACATAGATGTTATGGTTGAATGATACAAACCAGAAGCAGAGTAACTACCTAGCATAAATTTGCGTATGACTAGAATCCGCTGATTTTCTTACAAGACCAAGATCGGGACACATCGATACCTGCGGAACTGCTCGGAGTTCGCGAGGCTTTGAACAGAACTGGGACCAGATTTTTTTTGAAAATTTTCTTGCGTGAAACATACAAAATTATTGGTTTCTGCAGCCGCTTGTTAGTAGAATTTAGTGCACTGGTTTTATGCAAAGGAACTGTTTTCTCTGCATGTTCTACGATATAAACAAAAATATCTCACTTATTTTGAGATTCTCAGCACATGCCACGTCACAACGCAATTGACCTTCATGTCACGACCACTACTTCGACAAAATATTTACGAGGCTTTGGTGTCAAAACTTTTTCTGTTTTTGGGACTGAGAGCAAAACAATTCGCTTCTTAAGGTCTCGATCATCTGAAGAGAAAATAGTAAATCCCTAGAAGACGTTTATGACTTAGAAAAATTGAATACTCTCGTGACATGTTAACCATCATTCAATCACGAGAAAAGAAGGGAGTGGAAATATTGAATAGTATGTGGGATCGTATGAGCATGAAAAGTGGTAGATTATCATTTGACCCAAATTGGTTGCCACAAAACAATCCCGAAAAAAATCCCCATTTGGGAATTTTGATTTAGGGATTTTTTAATTTGAGGATTTTTTTGGCATGAAATATATCATACATCCTATAGTTCAATACCATTCTTTTCCTTTTTCCAGATCGTATGAATAAAAATAAAACTTTCGAAGTCATATCTGTTGGAGGTATTTAGTTTGGATTCATTAAACGTAATAAACACAGTTTTATGATGAATCTGGTGACCAGAATGTGTTTTGGATTACTCCAACAAACAACTTTGAGGTGAATCTGATGACGAGAATACATTTTGGGTTGCCAAAAGGAAAACTTTGTAGTAGCCCAAAATACATTCTGGTTACCAGATTT